GAGAAGGATCACACGAAGGATCTTTCCGCAGGAGATCGACTCTGAAGCAAGCCACCTAGCGGATTTGAGGTCGGGGCTCTCAAAGCGGCTCCCGAATCTGAGCCAGGTGTGATACACAACTCGCACTAGGTCGGAGGGCTCCGATGGGCTCGAGAACTCTGCGGGAGGTTCTTCGGGAGCGTGATGTTCAGAAGTATCGTGAGTGGCACCGGGACATGGCGTTACGGCCAACACATCGCTCTGACCTGCTGTGGCCCGGCGGTCCACCTCTGCGATCGACTGGAGCCGATCCGACGACCCCTGGACCAAATGAGTCTCCGACAGTGGATCGAAACCTGTGAATCACGCGAAACCTGACCTCAACCGAATAACAACTGCTCCCGCGACTTAACGAGCGGAACCTAGCTAAAAGCGGTGCTCAACGATTCGCACCGAGCTGTCCGCCACTTTCTTGGTCAGAAGCTTTCACGCCAAATTACCCACGTTCATCGAGCACAGGAGCCGAACGCTCCCCGAGGGCGAGTTCGGCACGCCACGCCCCTGGAATCTATTGGAAATCCGCGCGTACGCGGCTAATTCTTCAGATATGGGACCGAATTTCTGGAGTTACGATGCTGTGAGATATATCCATGTACCTCCTGGGGAAAACCGGAGAAGCTCTAGCTCGGGGGCTTTGGGATGAGGGAAATCAGCTGAGGGCTGTAGAAAATCACGAAGTATCCTTGCTTCCACGCTCAGCCTGAGAATGGTTCTTTCGACTACTGGGCGACCTCTCCCTAGAGCAGGATTCATCCATTGAATAGACGTCCCGGGAAATGGCCGAGCCGTATGTTAGAGCCCACCGGATGAGTAGGGAGTTATAGGGTCTCATGATCAATTGGCTTCTGGTCGATTTTGGTCCTCGATTTAGAGCTCAATCTTAGGGCAAACAATTCGCTACCTAGGAATTTTGCGGACTTTTTCTTCAGGGAATTCGCTCCATTGTGACGCTGCGGTCATGCGGGCTTTCTGGCTCCTTCACGCGAAATTCCGACTTCTCCCTCGATTCAGTGCTATTCCAGTCGATCGACTGAACTATTTCTGGCCTCACAGAATTATGTTTAAAATTTCATAGGCGTGAAGGGAATCTAAAACAAGATAATTTCCGCTTGAATTATCGAGATTCCGATCGAATTCGCATCGCGACTTGGAGTGACCCTCGCAAGAGACCTCCGTCAGGAAAATTCTCCCAGGTGCCGCGAGCCTGCCAGAGCATTCCTTCTGACCTCAAATACGTTAAGGGACATCGTGGACTGAATACGCCCCGAGATCGGGCTTCGATCACGCTGCGGCTATTTTCGCGGTCGACATAGGGCCTACAAGACGATTCCTAGGAAGTGGGGCTTTTTATAATCGGAGCTCGCGGCTTGGGATATTTTTCAAAGAGTGCATGCCTCGCATGACTCCTCTCCCAGACTATGTATTGTGCATCAGCGATGAATAGATTGAGAATGTTTCAGCTTCAAAATGAGGCCTCGAAGTTTGCGTAAGGGAGAGCCCGGCGCGAATGAGATCAAAAGATAATTCGGGTATAAATCGAATCTCGCTCGAGAATGTATTGAATATTTTATGCTGTTCAGCCCCGAGTGTCTTGCCGCTGCTCCATATTGGGAAGGCAATATAGCATCGACTTTAATTTGCTATGGATCACAGAAATCGGAAAACACGAGAATTGTGAGAGAACTCAATCGTTCAATAATTCCACGCCATCATCATTTGCGGAATTCGTTCTCACGTTTCCCTCCGGAGTTCTGAGTTCTCGTTCCTATGAACAGTCCGGTGTCTGAAGGGGATCAGCGACTGGGATACAATGCGAGCGGCGCGGAATCAGTGGTTCTGTAGGAGTGTTCTGGTGATAGCCGCTTTCTCCTGCGGTGTGGACCTCGGTCATCAGAAATCTCCTCCGCCAGCGACGAGTGATTTTTGCTCACGGACAAAGGCTATTGCCGTAGTGAGAATTTCCGCGGTCGCGTTACTCTCCTTCTTTGGGGTCGGGAGAGTGGTGCGGGCCAAGAATGAGTTCCCCCAACATCCGAGCTCAAATGACGTCATCGACTTATTTTATCACGTCGTCTCTCTCGGCATATTCTTGGAGGCGACTCGATGCTTCTGGACAAAAGACGAAACCCTAAGAAGGATTCTGGCGGCGCCCGACCACGCTCGTTTCCTTAATTCGGGACGAGTCGTTCGATGGCTTCTCATCCAATCGATGTACACTTTCAGCAACGTCACCGCGATCAACATATCCTTCTCCGAGTGGGGCGCTCGCTGGATCGATATTGATCTTTACTGCGGTGTTTTCATTTGGCAGCTCCACAACGTCGCGTACATGTTGTATCAACAGAGCCAATACGTAATCTACGGGAAGCTCGAAGAGCTCCGGCGGAGGGCCGCGCGACTCCCAAATGCCGAGCTGCTACGCATGAAATTCGGAATCCGGAAGCTCACCGAGGATTTGAACCACTCGTTTCAACGACTCATGCTGATGCTGTGCATAAAGGTGTTCACTCATATGAACAGAGGCTTTTCGATGGGACTTCGATTCGATGAAATTAGCCGGATGCAACTCACTACCACCATGCTGCTGCCGTGCCTGCAGATAGCTAGCCTCGTCGACATAGCTTGTGTAGGGAGTCACGTGGCGAAGTCGTGTGAAGAAACCTACCGAATTATACTTTCGAGGAGAAGCAAGCTCGAGTCCTGCGATGTCTTGAGGCTCTCCGAAATGGTTCGCTATTGCCAGCTGAGGGATTCGTTCTACGCTTCGGACTGTTTCATCCTCGATAAAAGCACGTTTCTGCAGTACCTTGGCACTGTATCGACCTTCGTAACGATTTTGCAACAGTTCGACTACAGAATTCAGGCGCGCTTCGATCGCGATAAGAAGAGCCTCGGCTAGAACTCGTGTGCATCGTTTACTTGGCTCACTCTGCTCCGCCGTTTTCCGATAGCGGGAAGCCCCGATGGCAAAAAGGTGAGGCCGCAGCGGAGGAGATGACGAAGCCGTTCCGCAGTTTTCCGTGGGAAATTCGGAAATCCTGTCCAGAAATCATCTATTCAAACCGACGGTGTTCTGTCGGACCGAAAATTGAGCCAATTGTGAAATAACATCTTTCGGGATAGTTTGCTGGTGAATTCTGAGTGCCCGGGTCAGTGGCTGGTAGAGAGCGAACGGATCACTTCCCCGAACGCGGCTGAGCGAAACGCTGTAAGGTCGTAACGAAGGACCTCACAAAACGGATATTCCTCAAAGTCACCGACCGATTGCTGGAGCTGTCTGTAATGACGGGAATCACGTAACATGATAATTAGATCTTACGGAATACTTCGAGTGATACCCCGTGCTTTCAATTCTGGTTCGACAGGTCGCTCTTTCGCCATTTTTTCTGAAATGCAGATCTGTTTACCGAAGCTTCCAACATCCTCTGTTGGGCTAACAGTTGAACTCACGGCCGAAAAGTTGAACTTCGAACACGAACGTAATTCGGGGCTTTCAAAAGAATCATTCGAAGGCTCGCTCAAGCATCACCCGGGAATCCTGTGGTCAAGGTTCCAGGATCGATGCTGTCGTCACGTCTGGGAGCTTGGGAATGGTTCTGCCTCGGGAAAGGAATCCCGCGACTAAATTGTGTCTTCCCCGCCGAGTGCTCTCGAGGGAGGGGCTGCTCTAACGGGTCGACATGCGTACGTCTTTCGGATGGATTCACCTCGTTTAAGCTCATGAGCGTTCAACCTCTCGGAAAATACCTCTCGGATCTGAAATATTATTAGAATATATCATCGGGGGCGGGAGAGGAGGGGGGATGCTAGTCTATCGTCTCACCAAAGCTCAGACAAAACGCTTCTGGTGGATCCCCCTCCGCCGACTGCTTAGCGGGAAGAACCAGGAGCAAAGATGTTCAAAACAGCTGCTCCGAATTTTCGGGAGTGACGTCGCGGGTTTCTGGGATGCTTCCTTGTCAAAAGAGCAACAAGAGCTCTTTCATGAGCTCTTTCAGGGCGTACGCCCGAAACCGGAAGATTATTCGAATGCCGAATGGATATCTGCCATGATAATTTGAGCCAATGCCTCCGCTGAGAATCTTGACCCATGGATTCCCCTATCATATCCGCTGATGTGTCTTCCATTACCTTACAATTAGATGAATAATTTCCCTGATTCAGGTCTCAATCGACAAGCCGCCTTCCGTGATCACTGGATATGCGATACGAGTCCCGTCGGGTCTCTCGTCACTCCCTCAAATTTAGGTCGATGCGGGTGGGTTGAAAGAGAGAACTAGCGTCCAGCTTCCACTTTCAAGAGAAGCTGAGCGGTCTCAGCGAACGGCTCACTGAAATTCTCCGAACCGGATATCTCCCGAGCTCGAATGGAAGTTACCTCGAATAAGAAGGGGAAGGAGTTTTCTCACAGATTCCCGCATAGTATGAGTCCATCATCGGTGGAAATCCGACTCATTGAAAATAAATGGTCTCCTATGACTTCTTTCTTGTCCCCCCGCTGTCAGAGATCCATCCTCGATCGTCACGACTCCGCGGCAAATACGTCCACAGTATTGTCATCGCGAGAGCTCCGGGGAGGGGAAGAACCAGTCTGAAGTCAGTCATAGTCGCCCTGTAAGCTAGTAAAGCAAAGAAATTAGCAAATCCAATTCTTCCCCACGGATTCTGAATGGCGTGATCCATGGGAGCCATACGATTAAATATGGCACCAATATTATTTGTGAGCGGGTGACTGATAATGTCCTTAAGGTGTGGAATCGGCTACAATGACAGACAGAATTTAACCTCGTGTGAACGATGTGGGCATCATGCGGCGTGACGCCGAAACACGCAAAGATACCCACTGGACGCACACACCCAGAGGCAGTGAGTTTCACTCTCCCTCTCTTAATTCGTCCATATGATCTATATAGACGGATAGACATCGCCCCAACCATCGACTTACGCTCATTCGATCCAAAATGAAGTGCTTGGCCGTTCTCGGAGCGTTCGTCGCCATCGGCCACGCTGGCAGTTTCGGAGGAGCTGGTGGCTACGGAGGTGGTGGCCTCGGAGGATACGGAGGAGGGACCGGCGGATACGGAGGAGGGGCTGGAGGATACGGTGGCGGTGGCTTCGGAGGTGGTTATGGAGGAGGAATCGGCG